CGGCGCGCGGGCGCCAGCGGACCGGTCCCCGGGGGCAGCCCCCCGGCGCCGGGGCGCCAGAGCGTTATCCACGTGGAGGCGGTGAGGCGCGCGGGACAAGGCGTGCTGCGGCCTTGGGCGTGCTGCGGCCGTGCGCCTTGTACCCGCGGCAGAGCCGCGAGCTGTCGTCGCTGAGCTACAGCCCGGCGCGCGCCGCCACCCTGCGCACGGTCAACACGGTCGAGTTGATGGCGCCCGCCTCCCAGGGGCCTTGCCCGGCGCGGCGGGGGCGGCAAGCTCTGCCGAGCGCAAGTCGCAGACCTACGCCAACGGCTTCGGCTCGGCGCGCGACGGCCTGGAGTTCGCCGACACGCCGGCCGCGCGCTCGAACGGTGTGGGCGGCCCGGACGGCCCCGCCAGCGAGAGAAGTGCGCGTTCTACGGGCGCGCCGAGACCGAGCACTACTGCTCGTACTGCTGCCGCGAGGAGCGTCGGCGGCGGCGGCGGCGCTAGGCGCCCGCGGCCCCGCCCTGAGCGCGCGCCGCGGCCCCGCTGGCCGGGCTGTCCTCTCAGTGCTGTAGCTGTCTCCTCCGCTCCCTGGTCCACCGGGAAGCCGGCGATCCTCAGTACGTGCTGTGTACGTGTTTGGTCAGATGTTCCTAATGGTGCCTGAACCTACACTGACGCCACTCAGGTAGTAGAGCGATAGGAAACAGCCATGCTGTTGGAAGTGGGTGTGCTATCTAGCACCTGCCTCGTACCTATGGAAACTGAAGTGCCATTGCAAGAGTATTTTTGTTCCTCAATAAGAGAAGTAAAGAAATTTGCACCCCTTTGTTTTTAGAAGGGAGTGTTTTACATGCCTCTTTTGGGGGGGTGGCGGGGGCTTTTTTCTCTAACCCGGCGACTGACCTCTTACATGTAGCGGTCACCTGCGTGCGATCGGTGCCACCCAGGGTTTCAAAGCGAACGCGCGGCCCCGGGACCGCGGTGGCGGCTCTGCCTCGGGCTCCCTCCCACCTGTGCCCCTCCCGGGCCCCTGGAGGACAGGACTCTTGGCCGCCCGCTGGCGCCCGGGTGGTCTCTGTGGCCCTTTAGAAATACGCGGCTCCACCTCATAAGCACAACCTCCTCCCACAGCCCCCGGCTCGAGCGATATTCACACTGCCCTCAAAGCCGCGGGCGTCTGTAGGATGGGCACCGGACAGCCTACCCCGCAGGGCGCGGTGAGATGTAGCGATCGCTCCCGGTGCCGGGCAGCTCAGGCGACAGGAGCTTTCCAAAGACACCTTGGGCCGCAAAGGCAAGGTTCCCAACTCACTATTTGGAGTTGCCCATATATGAGAAAAGAGGACACCCTGCACACATTTCCCCTTCAAAGACACTTCCGCAGTGAACCGTGGCCGGAGGGCACCGTAGGAGGCGATCATCGAAGCCCCAAGAGAGAGGCGAGAACTTGACCCTGCGGTCACTGTGTAATCCCCCACTAGGCCTCCCTGAAACCCGGCCTGCGCCTCTTTCCAGAGGGAAGGGGCTGAGGGCCCCCGGGAAGGAAGCCCACCCCTACCCCGCCCCCCACCCGCATCTGTCTGGGATCAGCCAGGTGGAGGGGCGCCGCTCCCATCGGGGTCCCCTCCGCAGGGTGGGGGTAACCCTGACTGTGGCTGCAGAACACAATAGGAGAAGCCCCATCACGTCCCTATTGTATTGCCTCCTTACATTTCTTAAGAAAAAAAAAAATGTCCTTAGTTACTCTGTTCTGAGTAGCAGTATGCAGCGTCTTCCTTCCAAGATTACCTCTGGAGAACACCGCTCTTGGCCAAGGGCACTGAGGCGCTAAACCTGCCTCACTAAGGGAAGATCTTGTTTCCGAGAAATACAGATACGATGGGTAAAATCCTCACTAGCAAAAGAATCGTTTAAAACCTGTGAGAGCCTTAGAATTGCCTCTAATCCAAGAAAGAGAGGAGAAGGCGCCTCGCTTCGCTGTGGCTGTATCTTCAGAAAACACAGGAGGTAGACCATGTCTTCACTGGAGCCAGCTTCTTCTCCAGAAAGAATGCTTTCCCCCTGACATAAAGAGCAGCAAAAACAGAAAACACACACACACACACACACAAACAAACAACAACAAAAACAAACAAAAAAAGCGAGGGGATTTTTTGTTTTACTTGTTTGAAGAATTATAATAAACTAATTTGAGTATCTCCTGTAATTCCTTTTTGTTTTTAGTAATTTATTCAAGTAAGTTATTTCAGTAATTTATTCAAGCTTTACATAAGTGGTTCCTTAAAATAATTACATAAGATCTTAAATTTTTTCAAAAGTTTTACTTTTCATGCTAAATAATACTTTCAATGTGTGGAAATTACTAACATTCACGTCCGTCATATTACTGGGGTTTCTTCTGTTTTAAAAAAGTAGTTTTTAAAAAATATCTCCTCAAGACGGTTTGTGGCAGCTTTTTGGACGGATTCTTCACGTCGTGCTGACCAACTGCTTTGCCATCCAAAGCTGTGAGGTCACAGGAAATAAATACTGCTTCATGTGTAGACTCCAGCTCCTGCCCTGCATCTCACAGAAGGTGCAACGGCCAGTCTGGAAAATGCTTCCCTGTGCGTTCAGAAGCCAAACACATACGCACAAGAAGTCAAGGAGGCAGAAAGTAATCTCGTGTTTGTTTTTTAATTTTTTAACATGAAAGCAGAAATTTCCAAAATTTATCTTTCTCATGCTCTCTGCCAGGTTAAAAAAGAAAGGGAGGGAGGGAGGGAGGAAGGAAGGAAGGAAGGAAGGAAGGAAAGGAGGGAGGCAGGCAAACTGAGAATAAAAATGGTCCATTTGTAGTACCAGAGGAAAAAGGAAAACCTTCAAAACCAGGCAGTGTAACTCCTAGGTATTATCAAAAAACAGTGACCTGGGAATTCCCTGGTGGTCCAGTGGTTAGGACCCCTCACTCACTGCTGAGGGCGGGGGTTTAATCCCTGGTCAGGGAACTAAAATCCCACAAGCCACTCGGCCAAAAAAAAAAAAAAAAAAAGAGTCAAAAAATAAAGTCAAAACAAAACAACAGTGCCCTGTTCTAGCGCCTTGCATTTGTCACCTCCGCCCCACCCCCATCTGACATATGTGCCATAAATAAAAGCCTGAGATCCAGGCCCCGCCCCCACCAGGCTCCTCCCCCGGCCGCCTGAAAGGGCCCCAGTTTCTCCACCTGGTCACTGGCTGCTTCACCTGCGGGCGCCTGTGGGTGTCGCTCCCATCAGACAGGATGCCCTCCGTCCACGTAGTTTACAAATAGCCGTTTCCTCTTGCGAGAGGTCTGGATCCACCCTTCCTCTAAACACTGTGAAAAACTGAGCGAGCCCACTGCTCTGTTAAACATGCTGGTCCAGCCCCGCGTGTTCGCAAGAGCTCTTTAGCCCTGGTCCCTGGCCAGACATCTCAGACCAAGTGAGTTCATCAGGCTGCACAAGAGCTATTAGAAACTGCTGTGTTTTTCACATGTGGGTCAAGAGGTCCCCTAATGTCCTTCTATGACTTTGTGGAGCCCTTTGTGGAGCGGGGTAAAGGAAGTGGATTGGGGGCACTGGGGAAAAGGAAGATGGCCAGTCCCGATTCTAGAAAGGCCGTGAGCCCCACCAGGGTGCAGGTCCTGGACGTGGGCTGCGCAGCTGCCCTGCCTGTGAGCGACCTTCCCATCCAATCTGGTCTGGCCAAACTTCCCCTTCTGGGAAGGTCGAATGTCTCTAAGTGACAGCAAGTTTCCAGAAGAATCCCAGATACTTATAAACTCCAGTGGAGTTTATTTCAGTCATTTGCTTCACACTTCCTGCATCTGCGTCACCTGGGTGTATTTTTAAAAAAATAATATATTGTGAAAGGAAGGCGTTTTTAAGGTTATTCTGTTAGTAGATTTTATGCTATGTTATGTTGGTATTTTACAAGCCAAGTTTAAACTGTACTATAGAAATTATTTTTATATTATTTTCAGAATATGCCACAGAGCAATATTTTGCACCCTTTTATTGCCACCGGGTTGTCTCCTTGGAGGGCTACCTTTAGGTGGAGTGGGGCTCCGCTGGCCTGCGGGGGTGAAACACTTTGTGCTGTTTGTTCAGATCCCCTCCGAAAGTGGAACAGTGTTAATGTCTTCTTTTTCCGTGGAAAGCTCGATTTGTTTTCCGTTCCTGGATTTGGGTACTCCATTTTTCCTCTTAAATGAATACTTTCTATTCACTAAGTTACTGTGGACTTTTTCTTCCCTATCACCACCCAGTGGCTCCAGTGGCGTTCCGAAAATTTGGGATGTTACTTTACAAACTTCATGTTTTCCAAACCGATTTGATTTATTAATCCTGGTAGTTTACAGTCAGGAATTTAGTGCCTCAAGATAGCAGGGGACACACCTTGAGGTGTGAAATCCTCTGGGCAGCGCCCACCGTCTCCGGGGGGTGGGGGGGGTGGGGTCGTGGCTACGTGGCTCTCAACCCCTCCCTTAGCGACAACAAACTTATTTTGCAATTTACTCTACTTTGCAGAAATAAACTTACCTGATGAAAATATATTTCACGTTAGTTAAGAAAAAAGGGCTGTATCCATCAGCGGTGGGAAATTTGTGAAAGAAAAAAAAAGGCTTTGCCAAACCCATGGGTTCCATTCTCTGTGTTTTTTATGTTTACTAAGAGAAGTAGAGTACAGCGCGTTTGGGAGGGTTTCTTTCTTTAGGACACGATTCGGTTTTCCTCACTGCGGTGTGGACTTTACAGATTAAGTTCCTCGAGTACTTCTTTCTTTTTTTCTCCCGATGCTTCTAATAAATAAGGAGAAAACGTGTGTTGTGGCCGAGCGGGCCCTGCCTTGTCAGACCTCGGCCGCTGGGACGTTGCCTCTGTCCAGAGTCTGGTTCTGCTGTCACCTGAGAACAGGCACATCCGGGAAAGGGCCCTGTGGTGGCTGGCACCCCTGGCACCAGGGAGCAGGCACCCCCTTCCAAAAAGCCTTAAAGCGGTGGCTCTCTGGAGACCTCCGGGTCCCACCTTGCTCTTCAGTCCCAACTATACTGTAAACTTCTTGCTGCTGGAACTGGCCCGCTTTGGTGTGGGGCTCCAGGGCGGTGAGGGGCGCCCAGCTTCAATCTTGCTTCAGCCACGTCCCCACGTCCACTCTCCAGCGAGGGTCCAGTGAGTCTGCTGACACGGGGGTGTGTCCAGGGTGCTTCATCCCAGGGAGACCCACAGGGCACTCATGACGACCAGGGGCCCCCATACTCGCCCCAGGAGGCCCGGAGGTTGCAGGGAGAGTTCCTCGGCACCCCGCTTGGGAAGAGTTTCATGATTGCTCCCAGCAGTGTGTGAAATGGTCTGTTTGCAGTGATGTGGGTAGCTTTGTTTCCCCAAACCAGTCCTTCCTCCGCACTCCACCCCCAGCAGAGAAGAGAGAGGGGGCTACCCTGCACGGACCTCTCAGGAATAAGTGCGTGTGTAGTCTGTGCAGTGTCAAGATGCCGTGCTTCCCCTCTCCCCCCCACGCTGACTTAACACAGATGTCACCACAGGGACAGCGTGGAAGCCAGAATCTCCAAACAAGGTGAGCAATGTTACTATTTCCATTTATTTTGCAAAATATTTTGCTGAAATTTTCATTTTTGCTCTTTGATGCTTGAAAAAAAAAAAGGAGTCCCACCAACTCTAATTATGTATACAGAAAATGATGTCCATTGCTGATCCTTTTTTATTCCTCCAAGAGAGCATCTCAAGAACACACACACACACACACACACACACACACACACAGTTCTTTAACGTAAGATGAGGAGTACCACTGGCTTTTTAAATATAGGCTGAATATGCTCAAGACCAAAGCAACCCATTATTTTAAAGAGGCTAAATTAGTGGAGCCAGCTCCTTACAAAGAGCACTCCCACCCCTGTACTTCTCCAACCTCTGCCCCAGGCACACAGGCCTGCCTCAGGGCCTTTGCACATGCCCTTTGGCCTGGAATGTCCTCCCCCCCCCCACACACACACACCCTCAGCCACGTGGCTCACCCGTCACTACCTGCCAGTCACTACCTGTTCCAGTGTCATCTCTCAAGGAGACCCTCCCTGACTTCTTCATTTAATAAGCCAACACATCCCACCCTCCCCACGGCCTCCCTGTGCGTGTTCCTCTTGTGCATTGATCACCATCTG